GTCTTCAATTCCATAGCACTCAACGCATATTTAAATAAACTTTGGTCCTACAAAAATGATCAATTAAATCCTTTTAAGCTTTCCTGTGTAGTGCAAGTCTCTAGTTTCTCTACACAGAGCATGAGTTTCAGGAAAAGCTTTGCCTCACTGGTTTCCACCTGCAGGTGAAATGCCCTGTTGCCATTTATGGATTTATAGATGAGAATACATAACATGACTCACTAATCACTCCATTCCCAGAAGGACTTCTCTTTCCAAGATATATATGTGACTCTTTTAGTGATGCGTCAAATGCAGCTCTTTGTCCAACTCTTTCCAGGAATAATCGCCTATCTCCCCTGCACTGGAAGTTTGAAGAAATGGTCTGGGTCACTATGCTTTGTTTTCTGTATTTCTACTGTCCTTAGTGTAGCGAATTTTGGATTATGCAGTAAAAGCCTAGATAAGTTTAGGAAAACACCACGGGTGAAGAAAGGTCTCTGCAGCTGCACCCAGTTTAGATTGAGAAGATTAGGCAGCTTCGATGCCACATGGATGTCCTAAAGGCAGAGGGCAGGGAGAGCAGAATGCAGGCATAGGGGAGAGTCACACAGAGTGTGCCTTCTTTTAACACTTTTTATGTCCTTCCCCTAGTGAATTGCCTAAGAAGACAGAAGTGTTATGACAAGCACAATCCTAACACTTTACTCAGAGAAAGGATAGGAAGTGATACTTTTAAGTGCACCTAATGTTTCTGGAAGCAGGCAACAGTTTTTTGATAATGAGCATTTCAGAATTTTGGATCTGAAAGAGAATTTTAGGATTTTGGATCACTGCATAGTGATTATCTCCTCACAGACTTTTTTAAGACTCTGCTGTCAGAATCTTTGTAAGTGAATGTAAACAAAAAGCCAGTAAGTTTTATAACTAACCGTATAAAGCCATTCCCTGCTTCAAGGGACCTTAATAAGTATATCCTGGTCAACGTGATGTTTTCTTTATACTTTTTCATTACTGCTGGAAACCTC